TCACAATACATAGATCAATTGTGTAAAGCACATCTATACATTTGTTGCCCTCATCATTCCCAAAATTCGCTAGCCTCTAATTTTCCTTTTTTTCCCCCTCCCCTTCCCTTCCTCCTCCCCTCTCCCCCATGCAACCCTTAGGGGTTTCTGAGACTGCAATTTTATTTACAGGAGTAATGAGTCTCATCTTTATCCGTAATTATTCTTGGGGTTCCTTATGCATTGTTCAACTTTCACATTCATGTGATGTGAGGCATAGCTTAGACCTCAAAGCGACATATTTTAAACCATATAGTTGGTCTATCTCAGAGAGCCTCCTCCTGACTTGCTTCTGACCACAGTATGGAGAGGACATGAGTGCTGAGATCCTAGACCAGCTGTGCAGGAGGCTCTGGACTTGATTTTCCACTCTAGCTTCTTCCTGTGGTTCACGCTCTCACTCCTAAAAACCCTTCTGTCACAAGACAGAGTCGGATTGGCTCGTTCACTGAAAACGGAAGTAGCGGCTGACGTGACCTCCTTCCGAAAAGAGTTGTAAAGAGAAACTGTCTCGGAGGCCTCATGTCCTCTTATGAGAGTGGATTTGCAATAAGAACACAATTCGAGTTGTTCCGTGGTGAAGCGCACGATGGCTAAGTGAAAATATATTCCTATAAACCCACCTCGTGGCTCTGCCGGAGAAAGGTCTGGCAGTCAGCTCCTGTAAAGCATGCAGACAAGTAACCCCGTGGGATAGTTTTACGCTCTCACATGAGGTTGCTATGACTGAACACCAGGCGACAGGGCAAGAGCATTAATCACCCCTAGCAGCAACAGCAAGAGTGTGCACAAAGAGCATGCGGGGAACCAAATATTTTGGTGTGGCTCACTGCTCCTTTCCTCCCTTACTCCGCCTGAGAGAGACGGATAGCTGTGGCTGCGCCTGCTCTTGGTAGTCTTCCATTCAACTCCATCTGCACGTCAAAAAATCTTCTGCAAAGGAGCAGGCTGGGCCTCAGGACTGGTCAGACAGAATGGCTTGGCCACTGCGTTTCTGAAAATGTGAAATTGGATCTTGATCGCTGGGCACCTGCCATCATCACTAAACATAAAAAAGCAGGCAGACATCTGTTCTGCCCAGGAACAAGGAGCGCATACTAATCACAAGAACCTGATGCTGTGGAACATCTTGGCCTTGATGGGAACAACCCGCACCCCCCAGACTGGCAGCTGCTGAGCAGGCTGCAGGCATCTCAGGACCAATAAAGACCATCACCATCACCTATATGTCTATTTGAACACATCAAGGAAGGCTTTGTGGTACAGATGGCAGTCACGTTGGGACTGGTAGAATGAACAGCCCTTAAAGACACACATATGGGGGGCGGGGAACATAGAGAACCACAGAGGTAAATTGAGGCAAATCATATGTACCATTTATTAATTATTCTGATCAAATCCCAATGTCCAGTCATCAGCAGCAAGTATCATAAAGCAGGGATAACTATATTTATGTATTTTCAGTTGCTATTGAGTGAGCTTCAATTCATGAAATCCCCATGAATGTCACAACATGACTATACCCCATAGAGTTTTCAGGGGATGATGTTTTGGGAAGTAGATCATTAGATCTTTCTCATGGTGTTCCACACATGCCTAAATCCTTGCTTTTTCCATGATTGTTTTTTTTCGGGGGGTGGAGGGGGGGAGAAGATCCTCTGGCCATACTTCAGAAAGCCACCACATATGCATATATCCTTTCTGTTAGCACCCAAAGTCTTCAATATTTGCACCACCCAGGGACTCTTACTGTACCTACACACTCATATGCACTGACACACATTTTCAGAGTTAGTTGGAAGTAACTTTCTGGTATCTCTTGGCGTTTTTCTTTTCTTTTTTTTAATCATTTTATTAGGGGCTCGTACAACTCTTATCACAATCCATCCATCCATCCATTGTGTCAAGCACATTTGTACATATATTGCCATTCTCAAAACATTTGCCTTCTACCAGAGCCCTTGATATCAGCTCCTCATTCTTTCCCCTCCCTTCTTGCTCCCCCCTGCCCCATGAACCCTTGATAATTTATAAATTATTATTATTTTGCCATATCTTACACCATCCAATGTCTCCCTGCACCCACTTCTCTGCTGTCCATGCCCCAGGGAGGAGGTGATAAGTAGATCCTTTTAATCTGTTCCCCCTTTCTCCCTCACCTTCCCTCCACCCTCCCGGTATCATCACTCTCACCACTTGTCCTGAGGGGTTCATCTCTCCTGGATTCACTGTGTTTCCAGTACCTATCTGTGCCAGTGTACATCTTCCGGTCCAGCCGTATTTGTAAGTATAATTGGGATCATGATAGTTGGGGGAAGGAAGCATTTAAGAACTAGAGGAAA